CAAATAATATTTTATTAGATAAAGGAGGTCAACAAGGTTTAGGCACAGACTGTTTTCATGAATAAATGTTAGGAATGGAAGGGCCATGGAAGGATGTCAGAGATGGGCTTGCTGGACTCAAAGCAAAGAGCAAGGGGCTAGAGAGGTGTGGATGTTCCTAACCTCTGAATGCCTCTTGAAGACAATTTAAAGGACTTTCAGGAAGCAAAGGATGGATAGGCTTCTGAGATTATCTGCCGGGGTCCTGCCCCAGCAGGTCCAGGGGTTCCCAAAGGTGTAGACGGAGTTGGCGAAGAAGGAAGGACACGGAGGCAGCGTTCAGTTGATCAGCAGCCTAGCCAGGATCTCTAGCCAGGATCTCCAGCCAAGTTCTGGTCTGGATCTCCAGCGAAGTTCTGCTTCAGATCTCCAGCCAGGTTCTGTGTCCATGTTCTCTTGCTAGGTTCTCCAGGTTCTCCAGCCAGGTTCTGTAGCCATGTTCCCTCGCTAGGTTCTCCAGCCAGGTTCTGTCCAGGTTCTCCAGCCAGGTTCAGTCACCAGGTTCTAGTCAGGTTCTCTTGCCCATTTCTGTAGTCAGGTTCAGTCCAGGATCTTTTGCCATGTTCTCTCCAGCGAAGTTCTTCTGTCTCTAGTTCTGTGTAGGTTCTGTCTTCTAAGTTCTGTGTGTAGGTTCTGTCTTCTAAATTCTGTCTTCTAAGTTCTGTGTTGTTACATCTGTATTTATACCAGTTGATTCCAATCCTATCAATCTCTATTACAAAGGTTAGGGCGTTTCTTATCTCCATTCCAGGGAGTAAAGATTATGTAGCTTAAGCATGATTGTTCGTAGTTAAAGTGATTAATTACCCACCTGGCACTTAGTTAAGAGGTTTTATTCCCTCCCTAACTTCAGGGGAAAATCCCTACCTGGGGAAACAACCTTTCTCAGAGACCTTGGTTAAAACACATAGTGCCAAGAAGGTGAGCAAACATATTAAGAACAGTATGCCATATATGCCAGGTCCCTTGAAACAGCAAGCATGGACCGGCTCCCGGCACTTATCTCCTGGGAGAGATCCCCAGCAGGATGTAAAGAGGAAAGCTGCTGCCAACACTTTATTTGAATGAAATGAGGAGGTGGGAGAATAACATTATAGATAAAGCAGAGATGACCTTCAAGATATCTCCTGACAGTTTAGATTGGTTGATTTGTGTGCTCTTATCATCAATAATCCAGTGTTTTTTGGTGGTAAATAGTATGGATGGGAGTCTAGACCAGTGATGGCTAACCTTTGGAGCTTGGCGTGTCAGCATTTTGAAAACCCCTAACTTAACTCTGGTATCGTGTCACATATAGAAATTTTTTGATATTTGCAACCATAGTAAAACAAAGATTTATATTTTTGATATTTATTTTACATATTTAAATGCCATTTAACAAAAAGAAATGATCAAAAAAATAAGTTCGCGTGTCAGAGGTTCGCCATCACTGGTCTAGACTGTTTCTGTGTATTACAATGTTATTTAAATAGCAGTACTTTTTATTTGATTAAAACTAGGGTGTTAATTGCCTAAAATTAGAACATTCTCTTGCCTCTTTTGATATCTCCTAGGTAAGGAGGTAGAATCTCTCAATACCTACACAGGATATTATTATTTTTTTTTTTTAATTATGAGAAACTGAAAAAGAGAATATAAAATAAGAATTGAGGTTCTCAAGCTCTGGCCTGGGGTAGGCCTGCTGGGTCCTGCTATCAACAGCATGTTTATTATTTTCTTTTTAACTATACTTGCTTTTGTTTTGATCAATCCTATAAACAAGTGTTGTACAAATCCTCAAGCTAAGCCATCATATGGAGGGACACAGATTAAAGACATGGCCTTCTTTCTCAGGAGCAGACAGTTCCATGATGGCAGGGTCAAGGGCCATCAAATTTATCTCCATATCCCCAGCACCTAATACATAGAAAGTGTTCAAAAGGTTTAATAAAAATATGAGTGCTGCACTGAGGCCAGGCACACAGGCAATCCTATCTAATAAAAGAGAAACATGGTAATTGGCGTATGACTGCTACCCTTCCCATTGACTAATCAGGGAGATATGCAAATTAACTGCCAGCCAAGATGGTGGCCGGCAGCCAGGCAGCTTAAAGTGAACATGAGGCTTGCTTGCTTCAGTGACGGAGGACTCCAACGTTCCCTGCCTGCCGCTGCAGGCCTCTGAGCTGCAACTCTAAGCAACTATGTAACAAATATAGAAGCTAAACAAAACCCCCGAAACCTGCTTTAGTCGCTGGGCTTCAGCCAACAGGATAGCAACATTGTAAGCAAAGGCCAGAAACCTAGTTTCAGCAGCAGAGGCCTTAGAGCTGGAGCCAAGCCTCAAAGCTAAAGCTGGCCCAGAATAAAAAAAGAAAAAAAAGGAGTGGTTGGGAGCTTCAGTCACCCCCCAGCCTGAAAACAGCCCTCAGCCCCTCACCCAGACTGGCCAGGCACCCCAGTGGGGACCCCCAACCTGAAGGTTGTGTGACCAGCCGCAAACAGCCATCATCCCCTCACCCAAGCTGGCCAGGCACCCCAGTGGGGACCCCCACCCTGATCCAGGACACCCTTCAGGGCAAACCAGCTGGCACCCACCCGTGCACCAGGCCTCTACCCTATATAGTAAAAGGGCAATATGCCTCCCAGCACCCAGATCAGCGGAGCAGCAAGGCCTCCCAGCATCGAGATCAGCGGAGCCGAGAGGCCTCCCAGCACCAGGATCAGCGAAGCCAGGAGGCCTCCCAGTACCGGGATCAGCATGACAGGGGGCAGCGCCCAAACCCCCTGATCGCCCTGCGGCTCTGTGTGTGTCAGGGGGCAGGCCCACAACCTCCCTGTCCACCCTGCTCTGTTCGTGACAGGGGAAGGTGCCCCAACCCCCTGATCAGCCCTGCTCTGTGCCTGATAGGGGGGAGCTCCCCAACCCCCTGATCGCCCTGCAGCTCTGTGTGTGACAGGGTGCGGCACCCCAACCCCCTGATCGGCCCTGCTCTGTGTGTGACAGGGTGCAGCATCCCAACCCCCCTACCCCCACGGGCCCTGCTCTGTGTGTGACGGGGTAGAGCCATAACCTCCCCATCAGCCCTGCCCTGAGTGTGAGAGTGGTGGAGCTCCAACCCCCTGATTGGCCCTGCTCTGTGGGTGATAGAGAGCGGTGCCCCAACCCCCTGATGGGCCCTGCTCTGTGTGTGACAGGGGGTGGCGCCCCAACCTCCCCATCGACCCTGCCTTGAGTGTGACAGGGGACAGTGCCCCAACCCCCCAATCGGCCCTACCCTGAGCGTGACTGAGGGTGGCATCACAACCTCCCGATCACCCTGCTCTGTGCATGACAGGGGGCGGCGCCCCAACTCCGAAATCAGCCCTGCTCTGAGCCCGACCAGGGGCTGCACCTAGGGATTGGGCCTGCCCTCTGCCACCCGGGAGCAGGCCTAAGCCAGCAGGTTGTTATCTCCCGAGGGGTCCCAGACTGCGAGAGGGCACAGGCCGGGCTGAGGGACCCCCATCCCCCCCGAGTGCACAAATTTTTGTGCACCGGGCCTCTAGTCTGTATATATAAAAGGCTAATATGCAAAGTGTTCCCTCAGGAGTTCCACCAGAAGATTGAGAGTTCAATTGCTTGCTATGACATGCACTGACCACCAGGGAGTGGCTTGGAATAAAAGACAGCTCTGGCCAGCAGCAGGAAGGCCCCAAAGGGCTCTGATTGCCAGCCAGGCCTAGGGACCCTACCTGTGCACTAATTTTGTGCGCTGGTCCTCTAGTATTTTTATAAAGATACTGTGATTCATGTTCTAGCAAACAATATTGCTGACAGTACTTAGGGGAAACGGTCATATCTGAACACAGCATACAATCTACTTGATGATAAGTAAATAAAAGTATAGATTAACAGGCAGTGAAACTCAAAGATAATATATCATCTTAGACAAATTCTTGTTTTAAACTGTTTTGAAGTAGACTACCATATATTGCACATGATGTAAGGCCTCAATCAATACCATTTTAATAAGCAAAATACATTTTAATTCACAACCTGGGGCTTAGTTTGTTACTTCCATTTGGTGGGCACTGTCATATTTACATTAAATTTCAAAAGCTGCAATGCTGGAGACCTCTGTGCAATGTTTGATTTCATGTCTCCAGTATTGAGTTTTTCTATGGGAATTAAAGACACTTTCACAATATAAGCATTTTGTGTTTATTTAATACTGAAATTCAAGAGTGTCAGTGGGGTGACTTCACTGAACAATCAACAGAAACCAAACACTCAAAACCAACAGCACAATATAACTGTGTGTGATGGCCCTTTGAAAGGTTGTATTTATGAGCTGCTATACTTTAGTTTTCATAATAGATCAACTCTCCAAAATTATAGACTTCTATAAAAGATGAAGAATTAAAGTGATTTTAGAGAATCCAATTAGGATTAAAATGTCATTGAGGTAATTTTAGAGAATACGATTAAGAATAAAATTTCCCTTTACAAGAAATATTCTTAGGCAAGAAGGATAATTTAACAAGTATTTCTATTAATGATTTGTGAATTAGAGCCATATTAAGGCTCTAATAGGCTTCTATAGAAAAAGAGGGGTAAATGAGAGCCACTCCACATCTTTCTGTGCCAGCCCTGCCTCTGTTGCCAATATCATGGGCTTTAAAAGTCTCTGCTTCTGTTTCCTCATCTATTATAGGAGGAAGTTAGACTAGGTCAGTTGTCTACAATAATACAGATCTAAACTCCTTCTTATAATAAATACTTTCTACTATTCCTTACAAAGCAAAAATAAAACGCAGAAGCACTATAATCTCTTTACACACATAGTTTAGTGGATCTCAGTATAACATCCTTTCCCTAATATAGGGAAGAAATAGAGGGAAAGCTACTTATAATTAAATAATATGTGTTATATATACATTTCCAAGCATAGGCACACTAGAAGACAAAGTGAAGCAGAAAGATACATGTACCTACTTACATTTGAGCAAAGTGAATAATTCAGAAGCCACTCCATTCAAGCAATGGGAAGCCCACAGAAATGAAAGCCCAGGAGTCTGAGTGTGAATACTAGAATAAAAACAATGTTAGGATAAGTAATAATAGACCAAGCTGATTTGTAGGTGATCAAGGAAGAACAAAATAAGAAACTCTGATACTTCTTTGACTACTTTATTTGCTGTTTCTTTGTGAAATGTTTATTTAATCTCAATGGTTTCATGGCTTATTTTGAAAAGAAAAAAGTCTTGGCAGACTGAGTAAATTGGTTAATTCAAATACCATGGGGAGGTAAGAGAAATAGAGAGCTCTAGGGGATATCTGTTTTTTATAGTGCAGTCAGAAGACCTCTCTGAAGAGGCATGTTTGCACAGAGAACAGAAGGAAGCAAGGGAGATCATGCAAAGCACAGGAAGACTGATGGGGCGTGCTTAGAAAGTGAAGCAGTTATAAGAAGGCCAGTTCAAGAAGGACACACAGGTCAAAGTGTAGGAGTGGCAGAAAACGAGGTCAGAGAAGTGCCAGGGGAGACCATGTAGGGACTTGAGAGACACTCTGAGGACTTACAACTTTTGTCTTAGTGAGATGGGAAGCTACTGGAGATAGTGAGCTGAGCAGTAACATGATAAGACTTGTATCTTTTTTTAAAAGATTTTTTTTAATTGATTATTTTAGAGAGAGAGGAAGGGAAAAGGAGAGAGAAACATCAATGTGAGAGTAGAATATTGAGCAGCTGCCTCTTGCACGCCCCCAACTGGGGACTGAGCCCGAAACCTGGGCATGTGTCCAGACCTGGAATCGAACCAGCAACACTTCAGGTGCACAGGACCACACCCAACCAACTGAGCCACACTGGCCAGGGTGATACTTGTATCTTAATAAAAGCCTTTTTTCTTTCCTTCATTCAGAATGAATATGTTCTGATTAAACATAGAGTTGTAAGAGAGGAAGCAGGTAGACTAATTAGACCAGTCATAGAAATTCTTCAGGTGAGTGATTATGGTGGCCTGGGCTTAGTGGGAGAGGAAGGGGGAGTGGCTGAATTTTAGATAAATGTATGCTAACTAGAGAGTAGATAGAAGTTGCTGATTATTGGATGTAGGAGCAGGAGAAAGGGAATAGTCATTACTAAAATCAAGACTTTGCTTGAGCAATTTGAAGAATGGGCTAGATATTTACTTTCTGAAATGGGAAGCGGTAAGGAGAAACTGCTGTGATTAAGAGGGAAAACAGGAGGTTAAATTTGACATTCTACACTGAGATGCTTTTCAGGCTTGGAAATGGTGATTGTAAGAAGCAATGAGATTAGGAGTATGGGGTTTATAAACAGGTCTAAGCTGAAGCTACACATTTTCTACTTATCAGTGAAATGGAAATATTTAAAGCAATGAGATTGCATGGGATTATTAAGGGAATGAATGCAGAGAGAAAACAGAGATCAGAGGACAAATGCTAAAGTTAATGAAGTTGATCTATTCATGGAGATTGAGAAGGATAGCAGAGAAGTAGAAAGCGAATCAAGACAGAATGTTATCCTGGAATTCAAGTGAAGAAATATGCTTGCAAGTCAGCTGTATTCATGGTTTGTTGTTGATTAAGATGAGGACTGATATAGACTATTGAAATTAGCAACAGGTCTCTGATGACTTTGACAAAAAAAAATTATATGAAATAGTGAGGATGGCAACCTTAATTCAGTGATTTCAAATGAGAAACAAAAGTTAAGATAGCTAGTGTAGGTCCTCTCAAAAAATTGTACTGTAAGTGGTAGTAAAGAGTAGAGTAGTAGCCAGAGAGGCCAGGAGATATTTTTAAATTATAATATTTTTAAGATGCAAGATTACAGAATGTTATATGTAGATGGGGAAAATCTCCTAGAATAGTGCTGTTCAATAGAACTCTCAATAGACAGAAATGTTCTCTTATTTGTATTTTATCTATTCTATCCTACACTTTAACATTTCAAGTGCTCAATAGCCACATGTGACTATTGGGCACTTGAAATGGGGCTAGTGTGACTGAGGAAATGAATTTAAAATTTTACTTGATTATGGTTAGTATAAAGAGTTGCATGAGCTGGTGGTTACTGAATTGGACAGCATAGCTCCAGAGAGAGGAAAGTTGGTGAAACAGAACAGAGAAGGTCACTTGCTGGAGTGATGACCTTGAGTAGCTGAAAGAAAAAGGGATCTCATACAAAGGTGTAGGGATTGCCCTTGAAAGGGGCATGGGCAGTTGATTCATTGTAACAGAAGGGATGTCATGTGGGTTCAGATACAGGCATGTTGGTGAATGTGGTGGTGGAGGTTTATGGAATTTCTCTTTTGATTGCTTCTATGTATTCAGTGAAATAAAATATGTGTCCAGGAAAATTGCACATGGCAGGGCTAACAATGCACTCTTTCACTTGTGCCTGGAGGAAAACAATAGCCAACTCCCAGGCCTGTTCTTGCATTACTTTCTTAGTTTCTTAATGCCCCACTGACCTACTAACATTCCTGAGGTTCTGAGCAGTGTCATAGGATCACCTAAATAATAGTTACCCGGGAGATTAAGTCCCAAAGGCGGAAACACATTTCTGCTTCACTGAGTTGTGTTGTGATCTCATTGTAATGCTACTTAGAATGAAGACAAAGATCATTTTGGGAAAGAAAAACCTCCTAATTTATGTGGTTCACAACATAAGCCTTACAACAAAGGGAAAACGTTTTGGACTTTGTGAATAGACCCAAATAAGGAACTCAGGAGTTCTGGTGGTCCAGACAGAGAGGTGTAGATTCTGATGTCTCTCTCTCTCTCTCTCTCTCTCTCTCTCTCTCTCTCTCTCTCTCTCTCTCTCTCTCTCTCTCTCTCCTTAAAGAGCCTAATTTCACACCTCCCTCTGGAGTGCTGAGACACAAGTTTTAATCTGCCTGATCAGCTTTCTCTGCAGCATGCCTTTACGCACCTCAGAATCAACTTGTCTGAACCAAACTAATCAGTAGCAGGATGAGCTTTTAAAATTCTTTCTTTCTTCTGGGATTGAGTTCACACAGCCTGAGATGACAGAAACAGACCACAAGATTGCTAATCTGAGGGTGTGAAAGATTTGATTATCTTCCAGGTAGCACTTTTCTCCAGAACAGTTCTCTCTCTTCACTCCTCTGTGATTCAGCAGGGAGAGATTTGAAGATACAGATCTAGTAGTGAGGTCAGCAGGAAAGGAACCCCAGGATTCCTCAGAAAAGATGTAAAAGGACAAAGGGGCTTTGGAAAAAGAGAAAACAGTAGTAGGAGAGGGTATGAGGTTCCTCAATCAACTTTAAGGGGATGGCCAACTGGGTGAACCAAAGGCCAACAACTGTGACATTGCAGCAGTCAGAGAAATGTGTGCCCATAGCCATGGAACAGGGTGCAGAAACTTGTTTAGACTCCCAGGTTATTCTCTCCTCATAGTTTCTTTGCAACTTTTTCAGCTATTTGTCAGAGTTTTATTTAGGCCATGTGGGATAAACTCTGTACTGATCCTTCTTGTCCTGGATATGGACATAGTTTTGAGGCTTCACATATATTCAGTTTACCAACTCTATAAATATATGTTAGTCAAGTTTCAGAGCAGGATGCCCAGAGGCACAGAGAAAACAGTTCCATCTATCAAGGAGCTCACACTATGGCTGAGGAGATAGGCAGGTCAATAGGTGAGGATGGTGCCGGGCCTTACTCAGGCTCTGGATTAGGTCTGGGAATGAAAGAAAGGAGAACTCATGACCTTATCATTAAGGAATGTACCTAGTTCAAAAGGTAATCAAGACAGATAAGGAGTGTTTCCTGTTATGTACAACTCCTCATAGGGTTGAGGTAGGGGAGTGCTAGATGTGGGGGAAGATTTGAAAAGGAATTCTGGAAGTAATAGTTGAAAAGCTGTTTTGAAAGAAGTAGTTATTATGATTATTTGCTATTTCATTATCTTTTTGAAAAAAATATATTCTCACAGCTTTCATTGTATAGTGCTTTGAACCCATCACATGCATAATAAGTTGCGGGGAAAACTTTTGAGGAAAAGACTGAGGTACAGTTTCAGTGGTTAAGGCTCCCAGATGAGACATCTACACCCAGAGTGTAAACATATATTCCTTTCAAGTATGATGTCTTTGGGCAATTAATAGAATAAAATTTTAACTGAAATCATTTTATGATAGCATAAAATAATGAGACATGAGTAGGAGAAATGAAGGATCATAATCTCATCTTTCTTGATTTTTCAATGGATTCTTAAAAATTGCAACATGAGGTAGACTCATTGTTTGATGGTTTAGGAACCTAACTCATCACAACAACATTTGCCAAGATACTTAATCTGTTTGGTTTTAAGAAAAACCTTTTTTTTTTTCCATTGTTAATGTGAAGAATAAACTTACGGTTGTTTACTAAAGAGGTTCTAAAGTGTTGAAATGTCAATAGCAAGAAACTCACTTCCCAACTTGCACTTGGCTCTTGAGAGGATCAAATTGCCCCTGAATTACTAGCTGGCAGCTGCTGTTATTTCCTGGTGGAGATTTCACAGTGAGGGCAGGAGAAGGCTGAATAACTAGGTGCTGTTCATCATGTGCCTTCAGATATATGTTCTTGAAGGTCTGACCTTTACATTAAACATATAGGAACAAATGTCATTGAATTAAGTAGAAAGGAATCTGTATGAGAGAATAAGGCTGTGGAGTTACCTGTGGTTCCAAGCATCTGCTGGATTTGAGCTTTATCTACAACTTTTGCACTAACTCAGGAAATGCTGCTCATGGGATGAGTCTGCTTGTCAGGCTTATGACTCAAGAAACCGAAGTATTAGCCAAATGAAATGTTGCACAACCTAGGCTGCTCTCTCCTAGCACATACAATTTTAAGCATGATCATCTGTAGCCTCAGATCTGCCAGCCTTGAGACCACTAAGCGGAGTAGAAATGAAGCATGCGGGGGGACAGCCTGATGTTGGCTGCAAAGGGCAGCAGGATGCCTGCAGAATCGAGGCCATGTTGTTTTCTTTCTTCAATATGGCAGGTCCATGACAAAGTTATGCAAACAGGACATGAAAAAATAAT